CATTTTAGCCTGTTGTGCAAAATTCACACACTAAACAATAAAATCCATAAAGTCTGAGACAGATAAATCACCTCTCTCACACTCTCTTTTCCTCGCACTCTTCCCCTCAGTGTCTCTCTCTCCCTCAGACCAGCTCTCTTCCAAATGTTTCCCTCAGACCTTGGAGCAAAACAGAGTTTCCCTCATCTTGTGTTTTTGTTGTCTGATCGGAGGAGAACATTCCATCTGAGTGGGAAAACGCTCTAAAGAACTTTTTTTTTTGTTGCATAGAAAAATACTTTGCTGGCAAACCAACTAAACAACATCGTTTCTTCCAAGCAAAGGATTCATGGACGGAAAATCTGAATTGTCAAACATTAGTCAGGATACAAAATGCAATTTTCACCAGCTGAGAAATGACTCCTTGAACAATGCAGGTTTGAGAAACACAAGAAATTAAAACTCTCAGACAAGGACATCAAATTAAATGGTCAGTATCTTAAGACCTGTGTACCCATCAAACTTAGTCCCAGGAATTATAGTTGGTTTGTAAAGTTTTAAGACTGACAACTATCGGCTAAACGTATTTACGTAGCCTTGGAAACTGTTTTGCTGAATTTTGAGATGCTGTGTGTTTATATTCTACTTTTAAAACTTCTCCAAGCCAGCAGATTTGGAAAAAACTATTGTCTTCGATATATAAACATTTTTGTCCTTGAATCATGCTCCTACTTTGAAATGTTGTTTTTGGATCGGTGAAGCCATGTGACTTTGCACAAGGAGGTTACACTGTAAGAAAACCTCCACCATGTTCTCTGAAAAGCTGTCGTCCATTACTGTTGAGAATGCCCAAAAAAAGGAATCAGCATCGGTGTCATTTTACATGAATCGGTGACAAAGAGACCAAAGGAAGTCATGAGCCGCTCGGCCGTGCTGCTCTCACTCGGCCATGCAAACTGAGCCTAATGTAAATTGCCCTGCCAAACTTTAGGCCAACTGCTGAAATGAACCTGAGTCGGTGTCACCTCCACTCATGTCACTGACTGGCTGAAGTGTGCCCCGCTTGTCTGGGCGTCTTGGCTGGTTCCCATTACTCCCTGCTCGAACCAATCAGTGTGGACGGTCGTTACACGAGGCTGAAACGGTCGAGTTGTTGGGGATAAAGATGGTGAAGACAGAAACAGGCAAAAGAGGAGATCTTCATTTTGGGGTCGGCCTCTCAAAGCAATGCAGTCACACCTGAATGTTGGTCACCATGGAGATAATGTAGATAACTGTTCTCCACTGGTTCTATGGGGAAGAAATTATTTACACTTACAAGGCAGAACTGCATCTAATTCCTGCTTTGCCTGAAAAGTAACTTATGGTTTGGGTTGCAGCCTTTTATGTCTTTACATTACACAACGCAGTGTTGTTTTTGCTGCAGTGTCATTACCCTGCACATCTCTGTCTCTGTAAAAGACAGAAAGTGACAAAAGGCACGGCCCCGTTACAATCAGGCGTCATAACAACATCCTCTGTCTCGTTGGAGCAGTTAAATGTTTACTGTGTAAAACTGGACTCCAAATGTTGCAGAAAGCTCTGCTCTGACACCAGAGACGAACAAATGGCTGTTTCAAATGGATTCTCTCTGCTGTGTGTGTGTGTGTGTGTGTGTGTGTGTGTGTGTGTGTGTGTGTGTGTGTGTGTGTGTGTGTGTGTGTGTGTGTGTGTGTGCGCG